CATTATTTTCGTACAACGACATGTTGTGTACGACTCTTTAAGCTCTAAAAAGTAACCGTTGTACCGTCTATTTTCATTTTAACATAGTTAAGCATTACCATATCTCTTAAATCTAGAATTTTAAGGTAAATTTTGTTTTCATTGCATTATTATCACACGAAGAGAGCAAATTATCTAAGTAGATAGTATAGTAGATATGATAAAAGGGGAAATTCTTTATGTAATAGGAGGGGATTTTTTTTTTTTGTTTGAACAAACGATATCTATTTACACCAACGGGGAAGAGGTGGGCTTAGCCTCAAAATGTGCTAGCAATAATGTGGTTCAAATTCGCTTTTGGTGAGAATTGAATCTAAGGTCATCTCCAACCAAAAAAGGGCCAAAAGGCCATGTTTAGCCCTATAACCCTACAAGAAATTATATTTTAATGAACAGTGACATGCCATATTTTATACCATCTCCAACCGAGGTGGCCAAATGGTCATAGGCTAAACATAGCCCTTTGACAAAAAACTCATCTCCAATCGAGGGAGCCAAAAAGCCATAGGCCAAATATAATTAATATATATTTTATTATATTAATTGAATTAATATGGTTAATTAAATTAAACTACTATATTAAAATAAGGTTTTCGAATATATTTTGAGTGCCACTTGTCGCTAAATGAATAAGCCTCTGAATTTCTTATCTTTTTATAATCTCAATAATTTTTCGAATATGATTTCGAGCGATACGTGTTGCTAACATGAGTAACTTCCTAAATTTCTTATCTTTATGTAATCGCAATAATTTTTCGGATAAGATTTTGAGTGACATGTGTCACTAAAGTGAGTAACTTTCCAGATTTCTTATCTTTATGTAATCTTAATAATTTTTCGGATAGGATTTCGAGTGCCACGTGTCAAGATATAATTGGTTGTACAAATTTTAGATAGGATTTTTATCTAAGTGACACTTCTTATCTTCAAGTTCCAATGTTAATAAATTGGCTGGATATTGAGGTAGAATTCACACACCTTCATCTTTGCCCTCTCCAATATCTCTTTCAATTCAAGTTTGTAATGAATTCCAACTTTGGATCATTTTCGCATTCCAACTGGGGGTCCTCATCCAATTCCGAATTAGAAGATAAATGGGCGCAGATAAGACGAGAAGATAAGGAGTCTGATGAAAAAGATGAAGCATGACACAACACAACATATATGGGCACCAATGGCTAGGGTCATGGTGTGTGAGGAAATTGAAGAACAACCTCAATGGGGTGGCTTTGTTGCTGGTCACTCTTACAAACCACGAAATAGAGAGATTGCGCATGAGACTCTGATGAACAACTACTTCAACTCCAAGTCGGTGTACACAGAAGAGGATTTTAGACGTCGCTTCTGGATGAGGTGTCATGTCTTCAAGTGTTTGCTTCATGATGTCCAACATGTCAATCCATACTTTCGACAAAAGATGGATAGAGCAGACCATCATGGTTTCTCACCTCACCACAATGTTACTATTGCACTCCAAATGATGGCTTTTGCCTCCCCAACTGATGCGATGGATGATATATATAGTATGTCTGAGTCTACATGCCTTGATAATCTTGTTGAATGCTGTCACACGGTTGTTTAGTTTTACAAAGAGAAGTACCTCTGTGAATCAAATCAAGCAGATATGGCTCGGCCCTTTTGCAAAGTTGAAGATTGTGGCTTTTCCGGGCATGGTAGGGTCATTAGATTGCATGCATTGGTAGTGGAAGAATTGTCCCACCGGATGGCAAGGAATATTTAGCGGAAGATCGAGAAAGTTAACTATTGTGTTAGATGTGGTTTGCCTCATTTGACACATGGATCTGTCATGCTTTCTTTGGAGTCTCAGGAGCCCAAAATGACATTACAATACTCAAGCGTTCACCTATCTTTAATAACCTGACAAACCTCAACTTGACTACTACATTAACGGGCATCGGTACAATATAGGGTATTACCTGGTAGATGGTATCTACCCAAAGTAGGTGACACTTATCCAAGCAATTGCCAACCCTGTCGGTGACGCCCAAAGGTGGTTTACCTTACACTAAGAGGCGTACCGGAAAGATGTTGAGAGAGTTTTTCGTATTTTACAAGCACGGTGGAAGATCATCAAGGAACCAGCAAAAGGGTGAAGTCAAGATAAATTGAACTCCATCACGATGTCGTGCATCATATTACACAACATGATTGTGGAAGAGAGGGAGATGACTATATTGATGGAGAGTCTGATGACGACTAATATGATCCATACAGGTCAAGGAGGGCTCGTACAAAAATATATGATGGGCCTAATTTGCCTTTGGATCCAAGAACTAGTAATATCTATTTATACATGAGGTGTCATAGGATGATACATTCACGTGCCACAAATAAGTACCTACAACAGGATCTTGTTGCACATTTTTTGGCCAAAAGCACCATGCAGTAGGCGTTTAAATTTTATGTTTTTAAATGTTTTGTTTAATGTTGTTTAAGTTTGAATAACTCCCTCGAGTAATACTAGGGTGGAGATTGTGTTGTTTAAGTTTTATGTTGTTTAATTTAAAGAGTACAATGTAAATATTAAAAACTACAACCACTTCAATTTAAAGATTCAACAACTTAAATTTAAAATCTACAACTTAAATTTAAAGACTACAACAACTTAAATTTAAAAACTACAACTTAAATATTAAAGACTATAACAACTGCAATTTAAAGACTATAATCATCATCTTCATCTGCCATTGTAAGAGTATAGTCGGATGTAACAACTCCTGTCGAGCCTTAATTTCCTTTTTTTTCCTATCAAAATATGCCTTACTCATTGGATTGTACTCCAAAGTGTTCCTTTGCATGTTCCTATCATTAATCTCTTCTTTTATTTGTTTTGTCCGTTCTTCGTGCTTACACTTTCTTTCTTCCGTAATAAGGGCATTTTGCTCTGCCATTAATCGCAATGAGGACGTTATTTCCTCTCGAAAGGCTAAATCATCATTTGCGTTGCCTTTTTCCTTTAATTTTCGAGCCTTGTTTCATCTCGTAGCCCTAGGTATGGAAGATTCACTCGGAGACAGATTTTCTACCCTTATTTCTTGAATGATAGGACATCCTTGTTCATCCCCAACTGCATTTGAGGAAACATTGACCAAATCTTTCTTGAGGTGGATCTTGAAATAACATCTACCCTTTACAAATTTCCTAACAATCATGATGACTAAAGGGTTTTTTCATGGGATGAGGATTCTCTACCCTCTCACACATTGCTTTTTGTCTTATTATCTCTATAAAAAAATCAATATAAAATGTTGACGTGACTTAACTGTGATTGTTCAAATAGGAGGGCATGGAAGGGTAGAGAGATTAGGAGGGTAGAGAATCTTCCTTCTTTTTCATGTCCTCCATATACAATTCCTCCGTTTGGCGTACCTAGAAAATATAATTACAAAAATTAAAGGAAATTAATTTATAAAATTAAATGGAATATAATCTTTACTAATTAATAAAACACTCATTGTCAACCAAAACCCTATAAAATTACCAATTTAACCCTCTAATTAAAATAGAACATGAATAAGAAATATGGGGCAGAAATGTAATTTCACACAACCAAATTTTACTTTTTTTTTCAAAGCTCACTTACATGTAATCCTAACATATCTTTAATTAAAAAAAAATTAAAAAAAATAAAATTTTCCACTCCCATATTCTCTATCACTCTCTTCCTCTCTCCTTCTATTTCAAAAACAAAAATAAAAAATTTCCTCACACACTTTGTGTGTGCCCATATGCTAGTTAAATATATTAAAATAACTTGTGAAAACGCTTACTTCTTCGTAGTAATTGGCTCCGCTTTCATGTCTGCTTTCGGCCTTTACCATTGCTTGATGCCATTTATTCAAACTTGGTTGAAGATGTTTTTTCCATCTTGAAGAACATCTCTCGTGGTTTCGGGTATTCGATGAAGTGGTGTTTTCGTATAACTCATAATACTTTTTGAACGTACGAGTCCAAACACTTTCACTTATTTGAGAACTACCCTTGACACTATCTTCCAAGATCCATCTACAAGCTTTGCAAAGAGCTTCATCTTCTTTTCGGATCCAAACGCTTCCTTTCATTACAGATGTGACCATATGAAAATTATTGAAAAAATTGAAGGAAAGATTATTGGAAGAGGTAAGAGAATAGAATGTGAAGAATTAAAATAAAATGATATAAAACAGTATGAAATTGTGAAAAGTATGTGAGAAATGGTGTAGGAATGACTTAGGTATTTATAGAAAAAAGATTACATTTTTTTTTAAATTCATCCAAAAAAAATCAAATGCAATGGTAACCTGGCTTCATGCTGATGCCAAGTTAACGTTGCATTTGAATTTTGGGTCGAGAGTGGACTGGCTGGCTGGATGAGGGGCTGGCCTGATTTTAATCTTTTCGGCTCGGTGGGGCCCACAAGCCCTTTGGCATAGTCCCTAGTTGGAGACCATTTTCGTGTCATTTTGAGCTATTTTTAGTCCTATGAGTTTTTGGCCAGGTCTGTTGGAGATGACCTAAGACATCACACTTATAAGTGAATGAATACCACTAGACATTAGTATTAAGTGACATTTAATTGAAGGGGATTAATTTCACATATCTATATATATATATAGCCTTTTGGTCTTGTTACGTCTCTAATCATAGGGCCATCTGCTTATCTGAACCCATCAACAACTCCAGACACGTGTCAAGATGAATTTCTTAAAATTAATCACCCATCTGTCACACAATGCCCCTTGAAATCCCATCGTCACCGTCCAATTAGAATAATCCAATTGTCTGTGATCCGACCACACGTATTGGCTGGTAATAGGAGTTTAACCCTAGGAATCTTTCGTCAAATCAAATCTTGACAAGCCACGTGTCAATTGCATACTGCATATACCCGTCAGATTTCAGCCAATGTACGAAATTACCCTTGGCCTACTCTTTTTCCGTTTTCATTTTGAATTTTGCAAATTCGGTCACCCCAACACTCTCTCTCTCTCTCTCTTTCTTTCTCTCTCTCACACTCTTTCGTCTTCTCCCTCTTCGTGTAAAGTCTTTCTCACTCTTCGCCTGTAGCTTCGTGATTTCGCCGGAACCCTAATTCGATCTGGCGGGAACCTGACGACTCCGGTATGAACTCCGACGGATTTTCCATTTTGCTTGTTAGGGTTTTGCAATTTTTTTTGCCTGATGTGTCGTTATCCATTGGGTGAGAGTGTGATTGGGAGACTAACGCTTTGGGTTTTGGCTCGCAGATGACCGTACGATTGAGGAACAGTTGAGAGATCAAAGGGGCTGGATTTCGTCACCGGATGGAGGGAGGTAGCGTCTCTAGACTTCTTACTTCTTCTGGTACTGTTCATTTCCTCTTTTTTTTTTTTTTTTTTTTTTTTTTTTTTTTTTTTTTTTATGGTTCTGCAAGCAGTTAAGGTATCTGTGTAAAATTAGGCCAAAGTATTAGAAATGGTGAGCTTTAATTCAAAATTCTTTTTTTGGTTCCGTTGTTGTTGGTTTCGTATTCGTACTTGGAGCTAATCAGAAGTGCTGAAGCTTTAATCTTTGAATTTGTGGTATTGGTTTATCATTAATTGTGTGTAATTTGTTTATTGATTTTGTACAGTCTTTTAAGGTATTATTCAGCTTATACTTGCTATTTGTTAACAAAGGTGGATTCTTGTAAGGAACATGCGTGTTTTGGAAATCGAAAACATCTAAATGCATGATTGTGAGTTTAGCACACATTTTTTTTCAATTGCAATTATTTGAGTTTAAGGATTACCTTAATGGGCTATTCTTAGTAATCATTAACTGTTAAATATATAGAAGCTTAATCTTGAATGTAGATTTTGTTTTCTGCCATACCTTTACTTTGTATGCTGTCTCATTTGTGAAATTTTGAAACTTATAGGATTTCTCGAGGTCAGTGACCATGTATAATATAGTTACCGTTACTGTTGTTGCATAGCATCAGTTGTTCCTTTATAAAAAAGATTTCATTAATTTTACATGCTTTTCAAATGAGAAGAATCCTGGGAAAGCATTACTCAAAATAGTATGCTAGGATTGGTGTCTTTAGGGTTCTAATATGATTTATCTGTAAAAAAGGATTTCAGTTACAAATGATGTGCATTTATTTTTTCAATTATTTTTTATTTTAGTTGATGGGATATCCCATGTTATGGAAAGTGCCTCGGCTTCCTTTTTTTTTTTTTTTTTTGTTTTGTATATTTTTAATTGTAGAGGAATTTCTGAGGAATTTCTAAATAGTACACTTTCAAGTATCTGGTCAAGTGGAACTTCATTTGGTTTACCAATCAAGGGTTCTTAACATATTAAGAGTTCCACTGGCTTAAATTTTATTGGCACGGAATTTTATAGCATTTAGAAACGTGTATATGTCATGAGTATATTTTTATAACCTTCTGTTGTTTTTGTTCAAAGCATGATATTACGATTTTTTTTACTGCACAAAACTTTGATGTTTCATTTTTCTATTGATATGTCAATTGTTGTTTGAATTGATTAAGGTTTTGTTGGTTTTGCTTTGGCTGTTGTATGTTTATATTATATATGGTATAACATTTTTTGTATAATTCACAAAATAACGTTCATAGCATATATTTTTCTCAATTTTAAAGTATTTGAAATTCAGATTGTGAGTGTCATGGGATAGAGTTTGGAAACTGTCTTAACTGAATTTTTTTTTTTGAGAAATTATGAGTTTGAACATAATTGATTATAAACGGTTACCAGGCTATAACTTGCTTGGGGATGATTAGCTGTTTGATGAGCAAATGGATGTAGGGATTGGGATTCTTTTCCGTGGTAGTGACTGCTTTTTAATGATTGTATGTGCTAGTTAATTATTCTGCAAGATGGTGGTTGTAAGGCCTGAATATTTGGTCCATATGGTTTCTATTTATATACTTGCTCGTATTGTTGTCTATCCCCATTTTGTCTATTTGGTCAACTTGAATCATCATTATTATTTTGTATTTGTACTCTTTCTCCCTGATTGTTGCTCTATTTTAGGGATACACCCATGGATTATGATGACAATGATTTTCAAAGCCAGAATCTTCATTTAGCTGGTGAAGGGAGTACTAATTTTCCTCCAGTTTTACAGCCATATGCTCTTCCCAAGTTTGATTTTGATGATAGCCTTCAAGGGCATTTGAGGTTTGATAGTTTGGTTGAAACTGAGGTTTTTCTGGGTATTGAGAATAACGAAGCTAATCACTGGATTGAGGATTTCTCTCGTGGGAGTAGTGGGATAGAGTTTAGTTCCACTGCAGCAGAATCTTGCTCTATATCAAGGCGCAACAATGTTTGGTCTGAGGCCACTTCCTCAGAATCTGTTGAAATGCTATTAAAATCTGTTGGGCAGGAAGAAATTATTCCCCCTGAGACAATCGTTGAGGAATCAGATGCCTGTAAGGAACTGTGTTGCTTAACTGAGCAGATGGAGCCTAATTTGAATAATGAAGATAACATTCTTTCTCAAATGGGGGATGTTACAGATCTAGGGCCTACATTACCACGGGTGGAGATTTCCGAAAACCTTTCTGGCTTAAAGGATGTAGGAGTAGATCAGCTTTGTGTTGATGATTCACAAACTCGTGAAGGTAAAATATTAGTTGATGGAAATTCAAATAACTTGGAACCAAATGATCTCAGTGGAAAGGACAGCCCACATGTAAGTAAAGGGAGTCCTTCTACGGATGGGAAATGCAAAGATGCAAAACAGATGGAATTGGACAATGCGGTTGATGAACCTCTAGATGAAAAAGAAGATTCCTCTGCTTCAGGAATGCAAGTTGATAATTTGATATCTGTGCAGAATATTATTACAAGAAGTGATGAGTTGAGTAAAATAGATGTTCAACATAATTTAAAAGATATCAGTGAAGAGGATCCAGACGGACATGTCTTGCGCATAGAGGCTCAAGTGAATGAAAAAGTAGTTGAAAAGGCTACCTGTTATCCTGAAAACCCTCATTGTTCATCGTTTGAGGTGGAGTCTGTGGAAGGAGGAATTGCTAATCAGGAAAATGTTGTTAGTGTGGAGGAACCATCGGATATGATACTACAAGAGGATTCTGACTTACATACCCTGGGCGGATGCAGTGACAGGGAATGCTCTGGTGCTGATGCTGACACCAACAAATATGAAACTGTGGTCTTGTTTAAAGGCATAGATACTGGTGGTGATCAATCAGAACTAAGCACACACAGCTTATCACCTAGGGTGTGTGAAAATGATACTAGCTGCTCAGTTGAGGTTAGCAACAAAAATGCTGAAATTTCTTCAAGTATAGATCCTATGCCGAAAGGGGATTCTGACTTACATGTAGCAGACATATTCAGTGACAGGGAGTGCTCTGGGGTTCCTGCTGAAACCAACAAATGTGAAGATACAGTCTTGCTTAAAGACACAGGTAGTGGTGCTGATATTTTTAAATTAAACACAAATGATTTATCACCAATGGTTACCCGAGGCGATGATAGGTTTGCAGTTGAGGTCACCAACAGCAATGCTGGTATTTCTTCAAGTCCAGATCCTAAACCGAAGGTGGATTCTGGATGGAATAGCTCCAAGGAGAATTCTTTAGAAAGTGGTTTCCAACCAGATAGTGGGACTTCGGTCAGAATGTCCGAGGCTTCTTTGTCAGTCATTGAGGAAAATGAGGTCTCAAAGGATGAAAGTAATGAAAATAGTGAAGTTCATTGTAATTTGACTGCAACATGTTCTTCAGCTGAAGTATTTAGTGAAGCACATGTAACTGGATCTTCTAAAAGTTCTCTTGATGCTTTTGGAATTTCTGGAGAGAAATTGAATGCTGACAGGCATGTATCACTTTCTATTGTTGAGGAGTCTTCTCAGATATGTGATGATAATAAAGTTTACGGAGAAGGCGATGTTGGTGATGGACGGGATAGTAACCTGGATCTCTCTTCCAATGAAAAGGATAGTACACAATTGCTCAATGAGTCTAATAGTAAAAATTTGGAGCTTGGTGGATCTGTTGTTAAGGGATCGGGGTCCTCACCATTGTGTGGAGCTAGCACAGATAAAGAGCTGGTTGTTCCAATATTAACAAATGAAGCTGATGGTAATGAACTGGGTATGTTATGAAATTGAAACTTTGAATGGAAATAAATGTCAAATCCCTTAAATATACTAACTTGGATTTCTTTCGCTTGCAGTGGCCAACATTTTCTTGGAAAATTCGAATTTGGCTTCTTGTGGCACAACGAATGCTGTTCCCTTGTCTTCTGGAAATGGTGTAGCCAGCGATATTGTTAGCCACTCAGAGGTTCAAGCAGCACCTTCTTCTGCTGGGGGTTCATACTGTGACAAAAAGGAAGAAACCGCAAATGAAATGACCAAGGATGCAAGTTTTTCATTTATAGTGCCACTTCCTTTGGTAGAAACAGGGCCAGTTTCTGTTTCTGAAGTTGAAAAAGGTGTTTCCTGTGATAGTTCTGGACAGTTGTTATGCAAGACGGTTGATCAATCTCTGCCTGACACAGACAGTTGCAATACAGAGTGCCAAAATGAACCACGAAGTGCAGTTGCTAATGAAGTTAGCAAGGGAAACACAAATGAGAGGGACGTAGCTTCTGTTCAGTGTGAATCTTCTGCAAAAGCGGGTGATGCTACTGAAGCTATTTTCTTTGGAAGACAGGATGGCTCAACCATAAAAGAGAGTTTTGAAAAGGCATCTGCAATTGCAACAGGTGAGAGTTTTACACTCACCAGTCATCATTCTCTCTTTCCTTTTCACGTATCATCTCTTGCTGCTTTTAAGTTATGTGCAGTCAACTTGTCTCCCTGGTTCGTTTTCACAAGTTACAAATGCTAATAGTGTCTTGAACTTCGGACCTCTTGGATAAAACTGCAATTTCTAACTAACAGGGCGTCCCTTTTGCTCTTGTTATTGTTTGTATGTTTCATGAAATAAAAGTTTTGTGCTTACTATTTCCATTTGCGTATTGATGTTTTGGAATGATTTTTGCTGTTATGCAGAACTAAGTATGGATTCTGACATGCGGCCTGGGCCTTCAACATTGGTGGAAATGTGTGGTGGTACTGCTAAAAATGCAATGGAAGACACTGACACTTCTGAAGTATCTCAGGATAAGACTTCTGCAGAGGCTACTATGCCCAGCATTAATTGTGAGTAATTTAATTTGATTAGTATTCTTGAATGAGTTGTCAAATAACATAAAAGATAAACCTTAAGGGAATGTTGTGAACTTTCACATTTTGGTTCTTTGGGATAATTTAACAAGGCTATTGCAGATAGAATGGCTTTGAGGTTCATTGGTGGTTGTAAGAGTCATTCTGTTTCAACTTGGTGGCTCCAACTCATGATTTTTGGGCTTTTGAGTTTTTATGGGAATGAAATGCTAGAGTTGGATAAGATGTATTAGAATTTTTTAATTTTAACTTTTTCCGAGTTGACGACTTTAATTTTGAGGGTAGGTTTCAAATTGCTTTTTTTACACCCATTGTTTTAACTTCAAAGTCATGTTGGCTTTCCTTTCTTTTTCTTTTCTGATTGTTATATTTTGTTCCACAGGTGATGCTTCTCCGATTTGTGAAGCTTCTATCTGTTCTGCTCCTTTGCCTGAATCTCATGCTAGGTTTGTTGCACCAGAAAGTGGTGGAAGTTCTGTTAATCCGAATAAAAATGATTGTGGTTCAACTAAGGTTGTTGAAACAAGTGAGCTTTCTGAGATTAAACATGAATCAGGTGATATCAAGGGGCCCAAAAATCTGAATGCCCCAGTTTCTGACATTGTTAGGAATGGGGACAATCATTCTCCTAAATCCTGGAATCCAAAAGAAAATGATGCCTCCAAGGATTGGAGAAATGGCACTTCGGATGTGAGTTCACTTGCAGATTTGCCAAAACGGGATGCTCCCAACAACTTGCAGCCTGTTCCTACTATTATACCTCCCAGAGTATTATTTCTAACCTTATTATTGTTTATGTTCATGCTAAATAATACTTGTGTCTTTGATCCTTTTATTTCTTGACATATACATTATTTTTGTAGATTGGGGTATTCTTGCAATAAATTTATACGTTTATTGTTATGAATGTGCTCTGAATTCGACATCTCAATATTCTGATTTAGAATTATTTTGCAGATCCCATGTCTTTGATACTTTATATCTGTTAACAGAAGTATATGTTTTTAGGGGATTGGGGAATGCTTGCTATAGATATATACATGTATAATTTATTGATGTCTTTACACCAATTTTTCTATATTCTGATTTAGAAATGCTTTTTGAAGTGTGCAGAGGGGTCTATACAAAATTCTGGTTCAGGCCAGCTGGATGCAAAAATCTCACAAGATCTTTCTCATGGAGGTTCACTAGTATTTGATGGAGTTGCACGAGGTGCTTCTAAGGTTACCCCTGAACGGAAAACAAGGCGAGCATCTAGCAAGGCAACGGGTAAACAGAGCGCTAAGAAGGGAAGTGCGCAAGCAAGAACTCCTATGAGACAATTAGAAAGAGGAGACAGATCAAGCAGTGTGTCCCAAAACCAATCTGGAATTTTCCAGCTTGTGCAGCCTAGTGAGACAAAGCCCTATGGACATGTGGATGGTGCTATGAAACCCTTTTCTGTTCATACTACTTCCACATCTAGTTTGCCAGATCTGAATACTTCTGCTCCACCATCTTTAATGTTTCAACAGCCGTTCACTGACTTGCAGCAAGTGCAATTACGTGCTCAAATCTTTGTTTATGGAGCTTTAATGTGAGTCTTTTTGCTTAATACATATTCTTGTACTAATATTGTTTTTATTTTGGCTTTAACATGGTTTAAAAAAAAATTAACAATGGCACAGACCCAAGGGATTAGGAAAGTACTAAGGTGTTTCTAACACTGCTGATTTAGATCAGATTACAGTTTTTTTTTTTTTTTTATTATTTTGAATTAGAGAAACAGAGAGATTAAAATTTCTGCAAGAGTGCAAATTAGGAAGTAAAGTAAGAAGGGAGGTTTTGGATGCTTGGCGTTCGTTTTGAGGACACCATTATGCCATAATTTCTCCGGGAAAAAGAAGGGCACATGATACTTCAGTGACCACTTAATATCTTTAAAAGCTTTTATCAAAATTTGGAATGGCATATTTCCAAATTTTGAATGCATTACGGTCACCTTCCTATAACATACTCGAGTAAAGAGAGATTTAATTTCAGGACGGAAAATGAAAGATGTTTTTCTTTTAATTTTCACTGCAGTCAAGGAATAGCACCTGAAGAAGCTTATATGGTGTCAGCATTTGGGGGACATGGTAAGTTATTTTGTTCTCTGTCTTATCGTTTCGCTAATTGCTACAAATGTGTAGTAACTTATAAAATTATGTTCTTTTATTAGATGGTGGAAGGGGCATGTGGGAGAATTCTTGGCGTGTATCCATAGAGAGGCTACACGGTCAAAAGTCTACTCTGGGTAATCCAGAAACTCCTTTGCAATCACGCTCGGGTACTTTCTATCATTTTAAGCTGCTTAATTCTCTGTTGGTTTGATCGGGGGTCTAACTGTGCTTCAGAACGGAGGTTTACAGGTTCCAGGGCTCCTGACCAAGTAATTAAAGGTGCATTCCAGAGTAAAAGCATTCCCTCGCCTCTTGGTCGACCCAGCACGAAGGGTGCTTCACCAATGGGTGCCCCAATGATACCTATTTCATCACCTCTTTGGAGTATTTCTACCCCTGTTTGTGAGGGCCTGCAATATAATTATCAGCAGGCACTTAATCCATTGCATCCTTTCCAAACACAATCAATAGGGAACGTTGTTGGGGGCCATAATACTACGTGGATGCCTCAGCCCTCCTTTCGGGGTCCCTGGCTTACTTCTCCAGGGTCTTCTGCAGCTCAAGCCAGTACTCATTTTTCAGCATTTCCTAGTACAGAAGCAGTGCAGTTGACTCCTGTAAAAGAAACATCTTTACCACAATTGCCTAGTAAGAAGCATGTTTCCTCTGGTCCTTCTACTCAGACTGCAGGCCCAACTAGTGTTTTTGCAGGGGTGTCTCCAGTGTTTGACCCAAAAAAAGTGTCGGCATCACATGGTCAGCATTCTGCTGACCCTAAGCCTAGAAAAAGAAAAAAGACTTCAGCCTCTGAGGATCATGTTCAGGTTACTGTGCAAGCTCGATCTCAACCTGAGTCAGCTCTAACACTTGCTGATAGTAGTAGTCTGTCTACATCTGTTGCCATCTCAACCCCAAGTACCATTGTGTCTAAGACCATGCCAGAGAAATTGATTATGTCCATCTTTCCAACGCCTTCCACTGGTCGCCTCAAAAAAGCAGATCAGGATTTGGAGCAGCGGGAAGCTTTTACAGAGGAGACTCTTAGTAAAGTTAAGGAGGCTACGCAACAGGCAGAAGAAGCTGCTGCTTATGCTGCTGCAGCTGTTAGTCACAGCCAAGAAATATGGAATCAGTTGGATAAGCAAAAAAATTCAAGATTGATATTTGATGGCGAATCTAAGTTGGCATCTGCTGCTGCAGCTGTAGCTGCCGCGGCTGCTGTTGCGAAGGCAGCAGCTGCAGCTGCCAATGTTGCATCGAATGCTGCGTTACAAGCAAAATTGATGGCTGAGGAAGCCTCGGTTTCATATAATGATGGGAATGCGAGCCAAAGTATAAGAATGACTACTCCTGTGCCCATTTTAAGGGGTGAAGATGTAACTAATAGTTCGACTTCGATCCTTGTTGCTAGGGAGGCTTCTAGAAAGGGAGTTGAAGTTGCATCTGCAGCCTCAAAGCGAGCTGAAAATATGGATGCCATTGTAAAAGCTGCTGAGTTGGCAGCAGAAGCTGTATCACAAGCTGGAATAATTGTAGCTATGGGTGATCCTTTGCCATTAAGTCAGTTAGTAGAAGCTGGTCCAGAGGGTTATTGGAAAGTACCTCAAGTTTCTTCAGGTCTGGTTATGAAATCAAATGGCATGTCGAGAGAACAGTCAAATTTGGGTACTGTCGGAGAAGATGTTGATTCTTCTTCTAGGCGTTCTAAAGATAGACAATCAGATAAGCACAAAGCACAGCCAACTGCACATGAGAAGTCACCGATTCTGACAGAGGTAAATAAGGAATCAATGGATGATCAACTGAGGTGGGGAGCAGGAACCACAGGGTTTGATACTGCCAGTGAAAAGGGGTCAAGAGGACCGAAAGGTCGCAATGTTTCTGAAATCAGATCAAAGTCTGCTTTGATTGCTGTCGAGAATGATTTTGAAAAGGAAGCAGGAGCATCTGAAGAAAGCAGCATCAAGGACGGTTCTCTAGTAGAGGTATGAAGCTGAGGTGTGATCTGATATGGTTTGTAGGTTTTTTTTTCTCCCAAAAAAATTGACATCAGCTTTTTTTCTGTTCACTGGACCTGTTTACAGCAGTTTCTACGTTCATGTGCTATCTTTTTGTGCAGCTTGGCATTTCTATTTCTCTGTGGCCGTAAAATAAAATTGACTTGTTTTTCTTTTAGGTTCTCAAAGATGGGGCTGGATTTGGAGAAGCCTGGTTTACTGCTAAGGTATTGTGTTTGCAGGATCGAAAAGCTAGTGTGTGTTACACTGAGCTTCAGTCAGATGAAGGTATACTGCCTCAACATGCCTTGCCTCATGTTGGTGTTACTGGTTCTCTTTAAAGTGATAATTTCATGTTGACTGTATCATTACAAGTTTTGGTTGAATACATTATGGATCATAAAAATAGAACTCTTTGTTATTAAGATGTTATGCCTTTTGCATCTGCATGCTCACTTATTATACATTTGGTTTCTGATCTACTTGGCTCAGGGAAACTGCAGGAATGGGTGGCACTTGATGGCGAAGAAGATAAGCCACCAAAGATACGAATTGCCCGCCCTGTTACCGCTTTGGGACATGACGGAACAAGGAAAAGGCGCAGAGCAGCAATGGCAGATTATACTTGGTCTGTTGGAGATAAAGTTGATGCATGGATACAGGAGAGGTAAGCCCAAGTTATAAAATAAAAAAAATTGATTGCGTTTGCTGAGAATCTTGCTAGAGAATTCTTTTATATGAAGATTAATATAATTCTACTGCCTGCAATTTTCTTTAGCATGCACAAATGTTGCTTTGCAACTGTCCTTTATTTGGATATACATTCCCTAAATCTTTCACTACTGTAAGCATGCCTAGTCTTGGGTGTAGGAGCAACATGGTAGTGTTGGTATATTAGAGATAAGTGCATTTGGTGATTGCACACTCACATCCAGTCTTACTATTCTTTGGACTAACTGTGATTTTGATGCTGTTCTTCCATTTTTGACATCTATTTTTGGACTTTTCATTCGTTATTATCTCGTTTGTACAACACATCACATGTGTATTCAATTATATTTTCAGCTGGTGGGAAGGAGTTGTCACTGAAAAAAACAAGAAAGATGAAACTATATTAACTGTCCACTTTCCAGGTGTGTAAATTACTATTACTGTTATATTTTGGGGTGGGGGTTGCTTTCATTAAGACCCTTCATCTAAATGTTTCCCACTGTTACTATGTGAAAGTTACTGTTAGTTGATTTGAGACTCGCCTGTTATGAATTCTTACAGCACAAGGGGAAAAGTCAGTTGTTAAAGCTTGGCATCTTCGGCCTTCGCTCATTTGGAAGGATGGCAAATGGGTTGAATGGTTTAGTGTACGAAATGACACCTCCTTCCTTGAGGTACTATGTTTATATAACTTCGTGCTTAATATCATATGATTGTTGAAAACTTCTCAAGTCAATTTTATTTCTATCTTACTGAAGTGCAATTTGATGTTCAGGGTGATATGCCCCAGGAAAAGCGACCCAAATTTGACAGTCCTGCAGTGGAAGGCAAAGGGAATGATAACGCGTCAAAAAGCATTGATGTGAATGATTCAGGGAAGCCTGTAGACCCAAGGTTATTGAATTTATCTGCAAATGAAAAGGTATTTAATATGGGTAAGAATACCAGAACTGAGAATAAGCTTGATGCAACCAGAACAATTCGGACAGGGTTGCAGAAGGAAAGATCAAGGGGGGTTGTTTTTGGTATCCCCAAGCCTGGAAAGAAGAGAAAATTTATGGAAGTTAGCAAACATTATGTGGAAAATGAGGGTAGCAAGATTAATGAAACAAGTGATCCGGTGAAAACTGCAAAATACTTGATGCCTCAAGGATCAGGTTCCCGTGGATTGAAAAATACATCCAAAATCGACACGAGGGAAAAACAAGTGGCTGGATCCAAGCTAAAGGGTCTGAGATCTGGAAAGCTGCAAAGTTTATCCGGTAAATCTGCTGCACAGAAGGACAACCTTTTAACAGATGCACACACTGCCTCCGATGGTTCAAGTGAAATGGACCATACAGGAAAGATCAAAGATTCTGTAAACCGTGCTGAGGGTTTATCCGGAAAGCATACACTATCACAAACATCTACATATAGAACAGAAGGGACAACAGACGGCCCAATGGAATTTTCTGCACTAGCTCCATCATCTGATTCTTCTTCATCCAAGAAAGTCTCCACTTTAACTGCTCTATCTCGGGCAAACAAAGGAAAACTTGCACCTGCTGGTGGAAGGTTGGGTAAAATTGAGGAGGGCAAAGTGTTTGGTGGAAATCCGGCAAAGTCGACTGCTGAAGTTGTTGAGCCTCGTAGATCAAATCGCAGAATTCAACCTACATCAAGAGTAAGCATTTAGATATATTTTGGTCTCTGTTTTGCATATAGATGTTTATTTTTTTTTTGTCATGAGAAATATCACGGTAAATGCTTCAAGTCATTGGCCAGATTATATCTCAATCTGAGGGTGGTTCCCTTGGTTATCTGCTACTTTGAAGTCGGTGATGCCACAGCAGGACTTGTATAAATTGTTTTTGGAAGTCAAATTTCTAATTGTAGTGTAAGTTTATAAAATTATCAGTAAACTAGCAAAATCACATTGACACCATGAGTTTTATGCTAAAACACTTAAAAGCGCCCAAATTAGAGAAATAAAAAACGCCACATCCATCAACTTGTCATGCTCTAATTGATTGTTAGTTGTGAATTTCTTTTGGTGCACTTCTATTGTTACAAAGTAAGCTGGTTTTTTCCCCTAAGTATTGAGTTTGCAGGGTTTCTGAAAGTGCCATGTTATATCTTACACGTAAAAAGCCCTAAATTTTTATCCCAACATCTCTCTGAATCCTTGTATAACATTCATGGTGGTTTTGTTGCTCGTGTTTACGCAATGTGAACACTCTTTTTATATTAACCTGTAAACCTGATGGTGTTCCCCTTGTTGGCCACAGCTACTAGAAGGACTGCAAAGCTCGTTGATCGTCTCAAAGATTCCTTCAGTTTCACATGACAAGGGCCACAGAAGTCAGAACCGGAATGCCTCTAGAGGTTAAATTTCATCCCCGGGGTTTTTTTTTTCTTGCGGACAATTTGCAGCACATATATTCTTGTGTTTGTGAATGTCGTGTTATCTGACTGTTGATTGTGACAGGGAATAACAATGGTTGAGAGGAGCTCTGCAAATGATGGGTTCCAGTCCGAGGATCGTCAATTATTGGATGACCAGGCCAACATGCCCAGCCGTACTTGTGTATATTTATTGCAGACGAGGATAAGCGTAGGGATGGAAATTCTTGCTTCTTTGGTTTCGTTCTGTCATAAAAATGTAGTCAGTTAGATTTTTATAGTGATTTTAGCTTACAAATTATGGTTTCCGTAGGTGGTTTTTTTGCGCAGAGAGGTGGTTTCCGTGTATGGAAAATTGTCCGTGTAGTTTGGTTTGTAATGCAAGGGAGGATTTCAGATGATTAATCACATAACCAGTTACTGTTTCCACCATTTGGATATTTAATATTATGCTATCTCGTTCGTCGTGAGTACATAGCATTGGTATAATCATGTCGAAATGTTTTTTTGTTGGATCATTCAATGCTACGTAGTATTGAAGAAAAATCCGATGTCTCGGTACGTGTTTTGACGCCGGAGCTCTTTTTCTTGTCCAGTTTGAAATCAAGCAGCGGTATGACTATTGAGTAATGCTCCTTAAAAGACACTGGATTTTATCAAGGGAATCATTCAATCAGCTGAATGTGCAAAAGAGGCAGCTTGATCTTGTAATATTCTTTTATTTTGGTTGATAAAATTCATCTGTTTCAATTTTTTATTTTTATTCTTGGTATTAATTCAAGATTAAAGTGACTGTATTCTTTGGTCATCAGGTGGCAAAGAGAATATTTTTGTAAAACATATATTACTTGGCAGGTCGGTAAGGCGCTGAACTCGCATTCTTTTGTTACATTGAAGAGAATCGGACTCTAAACCTATCATAATACTAATCCATTACCCCGTTCTTACTCGTCATTTGGGTAATAGGCAGACCGTTGAATTGTAAATTTAAGCGTTTGGGTAAATGTAATTAAACGCTAGAACTACAAGATGCTACACAGGTTCTCTTGGTAGCCTAAATATCTCATTCACAGTTAAGACCTTGTTACTATGAATCAGTATCAGAATAAATGTCGCAAGTGTAGGATAAGCAAAGGGTGGTGCTATCCACACACCTCTCAATTTTTAACAATCGGATCAAATAAATTGAAAAAGATTTAATGAAAAAAAATTACGTGAGTGGAAAAAAGAGACATGCAGATAGCGCCATCCTAAACACTCGTTTTTATACATGATTTCTCAGGTATGTCATACCCTAAATCAGTGTGAGACAATTTCTGACAATCGGATCGAATAAACACATAATATGATATGAATGAGAATAATAGCAATTCCTTGCAAGTTAACATACCTTGTTAGTCGAGCTAGTTCTTGTTATCAATTTATTGATGTTTGTAGTAACCTTCCCAAGAGTGGGCTATGCGTCTAACATATGTAAATAAAGTTCAAAATTTGGTCTAGTTGCACCTAATTTTCACTGTCGGGGAAAGTCCCGAGTTAAATCACATGAACGACACTTGTTGATAAAAAACCATACGAAGAAAATGAAAGAAACTGGAGGATACTGAAGCTAAAAATCAACATGTTTACACTCGTTATGGTAACTTGGAACCTAGAAAGTGGGGAAAAAAGAGAAAAAAAAAACACTCGGAGGAACTTTTGTTAATGCAACAGAAGCTGGCAGCGATGGGTTTCTGCCACGGCTACAGAGTTATTTACTACCAAAACTAATTTATAAACACTTGCAGCTCAATGAACCTATCTCCTGTACATGGATCGAATTCAGTCATTCACCAACGAGATCGAACAGCAACCCGACATAACATGAGAAATGCATCACGCCGTGCATGAAATTTTGTGCTGGCAAGATGAAAAATTTGCCATACCAAGTAAGCGGAAAGTCACCAACATACCTGATTAATTAGATGAGAAATCCGTCCAACCACCACCTAGTTGGCCTCCTTTTAGTCAGCTTCCTTTCTTCGTCCCCTTATTCTGGGAAACCTTCATCCTTTTCGTCTCCTAAAGATAAACGCTCTTTTCCCATGTTCCTCTTGATTGGTATTTGTAAAGCCTTCTCATCTGGTTTCTCTACATTATATGTACTTTTGGTTATTCCTGCCGAGTGATGATCTCTATCGTTGCTCTTTTCAATATCTTTGAATGGTTTCTGGCAGACGCAAGCCTGTGGAAATTCATGGAATTCACCCCGTCCAGGTTTCACCTCGTCAGGGTCACCCATGAATCCTTTTTGGCATGACTTTACCTTTTTTGCAAATGTTTCCCAATTCATTTGATGCCTAGCCATGAACAAAGCACTGAGCCTCTTAGCATTTGGCCTGATGGTCCTCTTGTGACCCATATACCTCCTACGCACGATGAAACAAAGAATGCAACAAATGGTTAAGAAATCTCCCAAAAATGGAAACAACTAAATTTAATAAGAAAAAACTAGTAGAAATAGTTGCACAAATTACAAATATAATTGACAATAACCATGATATCAAACTATACCAAAAAACTTCCGAGATCTTTATATGAAACGTGAGGTTGTTTCACTTGAAATAAATCTCTCTGTGTCATCAATGGATGTCAACGCAACGTTATTCAGCTGGGAAGTCAACTAAACACACATACACTACTAGACAATATCACAAGTTTATTTGAGGACAGCAAGATCTTAATCTGTAAGATTTATTAACCATTTTTAAGATGCAAATCAACTTGCTCAGTGGGAATGATTTCACTATTGAAAGTTTTTAAGAGTATGCCAATACTCAATTTAAGTACAGAAAATTGTCAAATTTCCGCAAACCTAGCCAGTCTAAATTTTGGGAACAAGTTACAAGAGCAATCAGTATCCCCAATGTCAAGTATAGCAGTATTCAAAGGGGTCAAATCCCACAGAAACTAGTTTCAACTGGAAAAGACAATGAATTTTCTAGCAAACATAAGAAAGAAAAGAAAGGAAAAAAATACTTGAAACTTCAAAACAACATAACTTCGAATTATAAAAGGCAGTGCATTTGTTTAATTAGTTCTTTCAAATACTACTTCTTGTGCTTGTGCAAAATTCAATTTGTAGTTGAACACCGTCATCCTTTGTTAAGTTTACCGCACCAGCATTTTCAGAAACCAAATTTACATAAATTTACTGACCCCTAGTATCATTTTAGATACAAATAATATTTTTAAAATGCATTAGTTCAACCCCAAAAAGCCTGATGTAAAAAGTGAAACAGACTTCTAACCTTCGACCTGCAAGAATCTTGGCCATATTCCCATTATTATTCGTAACAAACACATCACTTTCGTCAGAGACAACGTAGTCAATTGCAGCAAGACGGGAGGAGAACGGAAGAAAAGGCTTCAGCTCCTCACTAGCAAGCATCTCCTTTGTATAAAAATGTGGGAAGAGCTCTCTTAGAGGTCTCAAAGTCTCTTCCCCACCATAAATTTCTCCAGAAGCAACATAGAGATACGTGTCATTCGCAAAACCAAGTGCACGCAGCATCAAACCCACCTCATATGGAGTCAGTGGACATTTTCCCCGCTTTCGCTCTTCCTCAGCGCTTAAATCCTAAACAAATAATGAGAAAAATTACACAGATACTCAACAAATTACAGTGTGGGGCCAATTGTACCAACATCACCAGAACTGTACACTATATGTTATATAATGCAATTACAATGCAATGCCACATGAGCTTCATATAAATACAATAAACATATCTTGTTAAGAATTGACACATAGGAGCAAACAATTCCTATCATATTTCATGTTGAGATTAATATGAATCAAAATTATAAAAGAATAGCAATCTTACAGGTAACGTCGCCCATCGTTTTCTTATTTCAGCAAACTCATCTCTCTCTTTTTCACCCCCGCCATAATAACACCCAGAAAATGCTAGCATATCAGGTTCAAACCTGTCATTAATGCGTGTCATCCGAAATCCAAAAACAACCACAGAAATTCAATCATATGTATCATGAAAGGATAGCAGTTCTTTAAGAAGAAAACAACTGATTGTGAAGATTATATTGGTACAACAACAACAACAAATCCTTACCCCACTAAAAGGGAAAATAACCAGAAAAACTACAAAATTCTAAATGTGGAGATTCATAATTCTGGAAATTAGATAAGGTGTATTCCAAGGTAGTGTTTGTTTCTGCGCTTTGGTGCTTTGGAATGGGTTTGGCTGCTTTGGCATGCATTCCCCATGACTGGTAAATGCAGATGCGAATGACATGGTCTTTCGATGGGTATTGCAAACCCACAAAAAAAGAAAAAAGGTTTCGCACCCTGAAAGGAAGAGGGGGCTTTCCCATTCCCAATCTCCAGTTCAGCTATGTAATAAGTTATGGTGGTGATTCCTAGAACTCCATTCGTTGGAACAAACACGACATAAGATCCTGTAGGCAGAGGTGGCCTATACTCTCACTCCTATCCTCCATGACCATTACATGAAGGTTGAAATTTAAAAATATCAGCTCCCTTCTAAATTAATAGGCAATAGAAACAAACCTCAAGTGAACAGCAATGAAACGTTTTGCCATCTTCTGCATTCTCATAACGAGTTTGTGACCGAGTTCCTGTATAGATTTTGTAAATTTAAGGGCATGATAATTAACACGGCAACGCAACTTTTGCAGCTCATCGTCGAGGTTACTTGAAAGTCTATAATCAAACTTTGTCAATTGCAAAACCTGCCAAATTGCGAAAGTGTTAATTGCCATTCTGAAACAGACTACAATGCTTTTACTAAGACTGAAGGAGACAAAAGATAAAGAATACACATCTTGTACACCACTGATAGGATAACCATCCGATAAGATCAAAGGGGTCTTACACGTCTCCTCAATAGTATAGGCAAAACTTGTTCAATATAATATTCAGGTTCAGATTTCCTTGGCACACGCATGGTATATGGAGGTTTTTCCATGTTCCGCATGACCTTCTCAGGAACTCTCCGGACAATGGTCACGTCTTTTGCAAGATAAGACATGAACCAATCCACATCAAAAATGTGGATAAAGTCACTGCATAAAACATTAGTGTATTTAATGGGATGAAAATTCAAAGGTCAATTTAAGCACTAGCATGAAAAATTTCAAAAAAGAACAGAATGTAAAACAGCAAAAATATATGACGGGGTTAAAACCTTGCTTGATTCACATTACCTGTCATCCTTCCAGTAGGAATGATGATCCAGCTCGGGTACAACTAAGGTAGCATTAAGAATTCGGGCAACTACCACCGCATCTGTTATCTGATAGCAGGAAAGAAGTTACCATTTTCAGCATTTACAAGACAACTAATTACTTCAGTAAAATAACAAACACTGAAGATACCTTAACCTGAGTCTTATTTTCTCGGTTGGGTCTCAATACCTACTACTTGCAGAAAACTAGAAAATTCAGCTAAACA